CCTCAAAATCGCTAACTCTGCATTTCTAATATCTTCGACTCTCAAAGGCCCCACATTCATATTTTCGTATCCCGCAAGATGCATGACCTTTAAATACGTAACATATCGTGTCAACCACGCAACAGCTTTCAGTAGTTTGTACCAAGAAGAATAATATTTAAAAAGTGGATGTAAACCTGAATGTCTTTCTTGAGTAGATGTTAAACTGACACTTGTCTTCAACTCCAAGGCACACTCGTTTATCGGTGGTTCATCTTCTCTACGAGGCCACATACTATCAGCCCTTAGCAAGAACTCTGGACCTTTCCACCACTTATTTTTAACAACATTCATATCAATAACTCCTCGCGATGCTAGATCAGCTGGATTTTTTCCAGACGGTACGTACCTCCACTGCTCAACAGTTGTTAGTTCACGAATTTGAGATACTCTGTTAGCTACAAAACATGCATATCTTGCTGACTCGTTGCGTATATAATATATCACAGACATCGAATCAGTCCAAAACGTTACGGGATGCTTGGGGTAATCCAACTCTTTACACACTGTTGTGAATAACTGCGCAGCTAGTAAGGCGGCATTAAGTTCTAATCTCGGAATCGAAACCGTCTTTAGAGGTGCAACTCTGGATTTACCCATCACCAGGCTAACATCTATATCATTCCTTAAGGTGGTTCTGATGTATACGGCTGCACCAAATCCAACCTCAGAGGCATCAGAAAAAACATGGAAGTCAATTATATCATGATTTCTCGACGGCTTAAGTGGACGTGAGACGGAATGTAGATTCAGCATTCTTAAACTGTTAACCCACCCCTTCCACTCTTCTCTCTGCCTCTCACTTAATGGTTCATCCCACTGTAACCCTTTCCTGCATGTCTCTTGAAATAACCTCCTAGCCGGAAGTAGATAAGGTGCTACTAATCCAAGTGGGTCAAACACGGACGACAACACAGAGAGCACACCTCTCCGAGTAACTGGCTTATCAATATCACCAACACTAAATCCAAAGGTATCAGAGTTCACATCCCATCGCATACCTAATGTGCGTTCAACTGGTAGAGTATCAACAGGCAAATCTCGTACGGTAGGTGCTCTGTCTTCTGGATCTATATGCTTCAAAACGTCTAGGCTGTTCGAGACCCACTTAGTTAGACGAAAGCCGGCCTTAGCTAACACTTCAGTAATGCTTGTTGCAAATCTAACTGCAGACTTATCATCATCGAAGGAGGCTAAACAATCATCCACGTAGAAGCAACAATCTATGACGTCCAGCAAATCATTAGAACCAAATGTGGACACTGCCTTTCGTAGAGCAAAATTAGCACAAAATGGGGAGGATGTGGCACCAAATGGATGCACTGTCATCCTATATTCTGACACCTTACCACAAGGACCGTCATCAAACCACAAAAACCTCAAGTGATCTCTGTCACTCTCTGGCACCTTCACCTGAAGGAACATTTCCTCAATATCCGCCGCGACAGCAACTGTAAACTTTCTGAATCTCAATAGCAGTCCCACTAATGAGCTCACGCAATCTGGGCCACTATACAGATTATCATTTAAAGAGACTCCTTCGTGTTTCGCAGAACAATCAAACACCACACGGAGTTTACCTGGCTTCCTCGGGTTAAAGACGGGATGATGGGGCAAATACCACTTCCCTGGCTCACTTTGATCAACTAGTCTTTCAACGTAACCCTTCACTATATGTTTATCGACGACTTCCTTATATTTGGACCAGAGTTCTGCATCTGACAGGAATTTCTTCTGTAAACCCATTAGTCTCTTAAGAGCAACTTTCCTATTACAAATCAACTGTCTATCTTTGAATCTCCATGGTAGGCCAACGCTGAAACGCCCGTTTTCGTATTTACAAGAGTCCTCGGCTATTTTAACTGCTTTCAAGTCTTCTACAGAACGACCTTTCCCTGGGACACCGCAGTCACAAAACTCCTTGTCATACATATTTTTAATCATAGTTTCTAGTTTGTCCCCATCGTTTGTAACTAATGATGATATGTGGACTATGGGTATAGGTCCTCTCACTGTCCATCCCAGTGGTGTTTTTGTCGCAAACAGATCATCTCTACCTCCAAATCTCTCTTCTAATACCTTGTGAGCTTCTGGCACACTACATCCAATGAGTACTCTCACTCTTCCATCTTGCAATGTTGGAAGAGGTATGTCACACAGGTATGGCTTACCGACAACCGTTTCACGACTAGGTACTATAGCTTCGCCAAGTTTCATACTGGAGGTAGTGTAAGCAGTATCCACTTCCACGGTCTCCCCAGTAGCCAAGGATTCTAACTGAAATGACACTCGCTCACATACTACTGTTTTCGCAGAATTGAAAGTATTTACAACCAAGGGTTGCTTTGGGCCTTTAATACCCAAGCAACCAGCCAGTTCAGCATCTATCAATGTAACGTCTGAACCATTATCCAACAATGCATAAGTCTCTACTGAAGATTTCGGTCCTTTCACCTTAACTGGTAATACCCCTAAGAAAACTTGTGGGATGTCAAGGGGTCTAGAGATACTATTACAATTAACCGAACTCCCAGGTTCGTTCACTGTTCTCAGAAGTGGGTGCATATCCGTTAAACCACTACTTCCTTTATTTGTCGCCTTACAATTCCACTTTGTATGCCCAATCTTTAAACAACTGAAACACAGCCGCTTCTGCTTTGCCATTTTTAACCTTTCTACGGGTGACATAGCGATAAAGCGATTACAATCACTCAATTGATGCATGTTATGGCAGACAATACACTCATCCTTTCTCGTTGTGTCTTGAGACTTCACCACAAATGCCTTCCTTATATTCACTGGTTCCTTAGGTTCTACCTTAGAATGCAAAATGCTGGCGAATTTGCCCATCGCCTGGTTGACACTGTCCTTCACCAGTCTAAGAATATCATCGAACCTTGGCTCGATACCCTCCTCCTCTATACGAGAGCTTATTTTTACCCATTTCCTTTGCAGCCGCGTAGGTAGGCGTCTTGCAATTACCTCTAGGACTGAGCTGGAGTTGAGGTCACTCATGAAATTCATAGAAATCAAGGTATTCTTGTAAGTCATAAGATTGTCTAAAAACTCAGTGAGTGCCTTGGAGTCATCTTGAAGTTGACTGCCATTACCCTTGACAGCTTCGTATACGTTCCTTACAATCATCGAAGGCCTTCCAAACCTTTGACGTAATATGCTCATAGCCTCAGCGTATCCCTCATTAGGGGGCATGAGCTTACAGCACTGTATAGCTCTTGAAGCATCTCCAGTGCAATACCTCATCAAATACATCAATTTCAATTCATCACTTAATGAAAAACTACTCAGCATGATCTCAAACTCCTTAACAAACTGTAAATAATCGGCCGGGTTTCCATCAAAACACCGTGGTTCAAACTTAGGGAGTTTGATGTTCCTATTATCCCTGAACGGCGAAACAGTAACATCAACCATGTCATGCTTAACATCAGACACATCGTTACAATTAACAGACAAGTCACCATGACTTACTTTCCTGTTTGTATCCAAGACACTCTGTCCCTTCTTTGACCCAGGCATTGTTGAACTTGACCCAATTCCAAAAAGTTCCAGATATTGCTTGTTCAAAGAGGACTTGACCGGCACCAGGAAAGATGAACGGTGACTATCCAAACTTTCACCAACTGTTTGAATCCGCCAGATCTGTTTCTATCGTCAGAAACTGTCAGCCAAGTCTCATAAACCGTTAATGCCCAGCTCTCGCTACGCTCGGGCCCACGCTGTTCTTAGAAGATATCTTAGAAACGCTTAGTTATAACGGACGAAAAAACCAGAACACCAATTGTTGCTTGAGTATTATGTATTGTTACACCAGCATATAAAATAAGCAAACTAAGAAAACTAAGGTCTGTAAACAAATATTACAATAATAAATCGTTATGTTACTTCTAACGATGTTTAACTCTTCTTTCTGAACAGCGACCGATGAGACGATGACTGTCGTATTGATGCCTCCGCGAAAATCGAGGAAGTTGATTTTGAGCAAACAACCAAGAATTGATCGTTCAATCTTCAACTCCATTGACAACATATATCCACATTCTAGCCATCACCAAACTTGGTATTACCAGTGGTGCGACATAAAAGGCTGAAAGCTGTGCGGATCCAGCGAGATAACGAATACCATCCTGAAAACAATATCACCCTCACAGAGAAACAAGAAGGAAGACACTATTTTGAGACAACGCAGGCTCTCCCATCAACGGTCTGTTTCACTTCCGCGTCTGAATGGTTGTGTTTCTATTGTTGGACTTCGGGATTAGCGAATAGAGTAGTCTTCATTTGTCATTTGGGCTCGTAAAGCTCAAATTCCACTAGTTTGTATTAGTAATATTATCAATATTGTACTTGAAGTTATTGGTTTATGGTTTCTTAGCAGTAATTTCCCGCAGCATGACTGTATAATGAAGTGTATCGGTACGACGCTAGGACAGAGCCACCTAGTCGTGCAAAACAAAGCGTATCTGCGGAAATCAGAACATACACCCAGCTCAGGATCACAGGAAGGAAACCAGGCATGGCATCATAATGCATGAATTGGTAGATGTGCACAACGGACGTCTTTAGAAGGAAAAAATACGGCTTGGAACCCTACATTTCATGTTGATATAGCTCTGGAGTGTTGAATTTGCAGATAACGTGCTTTTACACATAATATCTTGTTTAAGTGCCTGTAATTATTACACAGAAATCACTGTCCGTAGTTAAGATACTCATACGTCTCTATCGAACAAATGTTTGGACAAAAAGGGGACATATTTTATATACGATATGTAAACATTTGTCTTCCTTTAAATTCTATCTAGCTTTCCGAATCAAATCGTTATTGATAGAAAATTAGTTGGTATTTGTGCTTGTGATAACATTTCGCTCCCAGTTTAGCTAGAATCAGTTAAATTGTGAGGCGAATTTTTATGCTGTCTGCTTTTCAGTGTACAATGTCTCTCAAGATACCCGCGGAACTTTACCAAGGTTGCTACCTCACGAGTACTCGGTGTTCTTGTTAACAGTATGTTACTTAACGGTGATAGTGATGTTGTTGGTGATGCAGCTAAGTTTCACAAGCCAGGAGAAAATTATAATTCTCCCGGATATGTAGTAACTAAGAACACAATGCGACTTCTGAAAGAGCATCTGAAGCAGACAGGTGGTAAAGTGGTTACCAGATTTCCACCAGAACCGAATGGTATTTTGCACATTGGTCATGCCAAAGCGATTAACTTCAATTTTGGTTACGCAAAGGTAATTGTGTGCTATTTTCGACTTTTCGATTTTAGAAAAATGGTGGCATAACTTATCTGCGGTATGATGATACCAATCCCGAAAAGGAAGAAGCGGAGTTTTTTGAGGCCATAGAGGATATGGTTAGATGGCTAGGTAAGTTTATTTAAGACTAATGTTGGATAGGACTTACTCCTTACAAAATTACTCATGCTTCTGACAATTTCCAGCAGCTATACGAATGGGCAATTAAGTTGATTAAACTGAAACTAGCATATGTTTGTCATCAGGCCGTTGAAGAAATACGAGGTTTTAATCCTCCACCATCGCCATGGAGGGATAGACCAGTTGAGGAGTCCTTACAACTTTTTGAAGACATGAAGAATGGCAAGGTATGTATTCACGTTCCAAACCACTCCTAATAAACAGCCTCTTAAACTTATCATAGTAAAAAGAGATCCTGGTTGTCGAAGCTTACATAGGAGACTCTTTGAGTATATCCAAACTAGAAGTTATTGGTGTCATTTAGTGTCGATATTATATAAAACACCTGATGTAATTGTCTCATTATCTGCATCATTTTCAGTTTGTTCTTAAGTTATTGTTAAGCGTCTTTATCAAATTATGGTTTACTCAACATCTGAGGGGTTAATAGTAGTAAAGCAGTTTGTTCTGGTGTGCTGCGAGAAAAATTGGTATTCCACTTATGTGTGATAGGTGATATTCGTTATGCAACTTGTAATCAGTTTATTATGCATATACGATCTATTTATTTAGACTTTTCACTGCGTTTAATATTTTCGCGTGGTAAAGGTCATTCTCTCGATGCTACAGTTTTTTGACAGTCTATATTGTGGACAGGCGTAATGTGTGGCTAATTTTCTTCACCGGTAACCGTTTTCGGTTTATCGATATGTTTTCACAAAAGGTACCTAATTTCCACCATCTTTTAAAATAAATAGCATTGAAACTGGATTGTACTACGAAACGTCCATATACGGTGTTTAAGACGCTGTAAATAGGACATTTATCGTGATCCTACATATTTGATCCTAATGTACAGTGTTTATGAGTATTTTCAGTCATTGACTGTCACAGGGTAGATGAAACCTTTTTACTCTAAAACAGGCGTGTGCCTTGTTCCTGAGTTATATTCATTTCTGTGTTGTAATGTGGGCAAGAGTAAGAAATAGACACGAAAGTCAAATGACGTTGAATCTACCATTTATATTCTTCTAGGTAAAAAGTGGCATTTATTTTGAAAAAAGTTCATTTATGAGGCATACATGTAATAAAACTGAATTATACAGGGTATATATTTGTAAGATGCTGTAAAAACTGGTCCCAGTTCGCCACAGGAGTATCTGCAGACATATGGAACCAATGTCGACACAAAAGATCTAAGTGGCTGTATCTCATATCATATCGTTAACCAATAATTGTTGTAATACTTTTATTTAGATGCACTCAGAATCCTTCAGTAGAATTTGTATGAATTCCACTTACACGATCTACTAATTCAGAAGTATGATTGACTTTATGATATGGTCTAATGATTATGGTTGCGATGAACCCTTCCACTCGAGTGTATAAGCTGTAGTGCCTAGGAGGACTAGTTGTATTATTGGTATTAAAACATCTAAGTGAAACTCGCAACGAAGATTATAAACACCATGCATGTGTAGTGCCTAGCCATCTTATTGGTTGATTCAATGTCATTTAATTTTGGTGTTTATTCTTTACTGTTGCCGTAATGTTGTCATATATAAAATTAGTTATGCTCACTATTGTCCTGTAACTGTATAATCACGGTATATGTAGAGATAGCTGTTATTGATTTGATTATAAGTGATATTTCTCCAAAACTCCTGTTTATTTCTTCGCAAATCAACTACCATGCATACATAATTTTAGACATCCATAATTTCATTTTATTCCCCTTAATGAGTGTTGGGAAGTTATTTTTAAAAAATCACATCAGTTGATATATTTTCGTGTAATTCATTTTTCATTCCCTTTCTCTAGATTGAAGAAGGAAAAGCTACTTTGCGTATGAAAGTAACACTGGGAGATGGTAAAGTTGATCCAGTAGCTTATCGAATAAAAATGACACCCCATCATCGTACCGGTACTACTTGGTAAGCAATTTGCCTTCTGTCATACTTCCTTACTCTTTCTAGGTGTATTTATCCTACTTACGATTATACACATTGCTTGTGTGACTCCATCGAAAATATTACACATTCATTATGCACTAAAGAGTTCCAATCCAGGTGAGTTATCGGTGTGCACTGTAATGGATATTTACCATTAAAATTTTGCTTTGAATAATTGTAATTAACTTTATTAGTATAGGAAGATCACTTTAATCATAGTAAAATTTGAATTGGAGCAACTGGTATTCCAATCCTTCCACTTAGATGTTTTTATATATTAACATTTCGAGTTACTCTTTGGTCTTAGCTTTCCTGTATGCAGATCTGTAAAAAACAAAAAGGCCGGTGTTTTATAATTCTCAGGTTTTTTTCCAGACCATTAGTCTTCATTGGTTGCACGTATTGAATAATAAACGAGAACTATTTTGGCATTTTTTGTGTTAAATTCTGTGGGATTTATTAGGTAGCCTACATCCACTTACATTTTTAAGAAAATGACGAGGTGTCTAAAAGTCATTTTTTAGCATTAGTCTAACGAAAAATGTGCAGTCTATGGAAGGGTTGAGATTTGATAATGACTGTATCTATGTTAGACCTTTCACGGTATTATAACTGCCTTAATTATCTAGTCGTATACTCTAAAGTTTGGGTTTTTATTTTAGCAATCTTCATTGTGTATGTTTTTGCTGCTCCAAACAAGAGTTTCAGTTTCTGCTGAGGAATATCAACCTCGCTTTGTCCTTTTAAAAGTGGAGTCAAGAAATTTACGATGTGATCGAAATATTCTCATACTGCTTAATTTGACATCTGTCTGTTTTCGACATAGAACTTTGCACATATATGCGGCATTTCGAGTCGCCACACTCCCTCCATGTAGCACACAAAGCAAGAGAAGAAAGTAGAAGAAATGCATAATAGAGAGAGTAAATAGAGGTGTGAAACAAAGGAATAGTAATAATAACAATATAGTTTCATTGGAAATCATAAGTCACAAGGAGTGGATGGATCTGCGACGGCCATTGAGAACGATTTTGAGCCATGTTACCAGTTGTTTCCAACCATTTGTTTTTACCGTCCCGAGGGCCCAAACGAGTCAGGAAGTCTACACCTTCCTACGTGGCTTAACCTAACTGTTGTGGATTTCATTGACTGGTGCCATGTTTTGGTTTGACCGCTGTTAGCTCTTTTCCAGCCTGACCCTATATCAGCTAACATTGACCGTCGAGGAAGGCGATCGATGGTTAGGCATACGTGACACATGTCCTAAACATTTTAGCCGATGTAGCTTCACACCCTCGTCTCCTGATTTCCCCTCCTTACCTAGCACTCGACCGACGCCTAACCTCAATATTGCTCACCCCATTATACCACTTCACACGGGAGATAGAGCGCAGGCACCTATGATCAAAGACAGCAAATCTTTTCATGTCTTCCGCTGTCAATAGTCAGGTCTTACAGTCATATAGGAGGACGGAGCGGACTGCTGAGGAGTACACCCGCCCTTTGGTCGATAGCCAGCCAGATATCACGTCTACGCCAGAGACGGCGTAAACTGACATACTGAAAACTGTCACACCTAAGTGAACTGTCTGCAATGGAAGTTCACTTATTTATACTGCAGAATTTCCTTGGAGATAGCGTAATATCATGAAACATGATTAAGTTTGTATGACCAACAAGGAATAAATGTTCTTTCAAGTTAAGCAGTCAAATTCTATTTTAATTCTATAGTCGTTACTTATTGTCTTATTACGGTAATACTAAAGGTGATTGTCTTTTTGTCTTGCATTAGTTTTACAACATGATATTCGTTGACATTCATTGAATTGTTTTCTTTTACAACTTTGTAATTCCAGGCGTCCTGCTTATTATTGGCTTTGTAATTCTCTAGATATTTACTGTCCAGTTCAGTGGGAGTATGGCCGTTTAAATTTGTACTATAGTGTAGTATCTAAACGCAAAATTTTAAAGTTGATTGAATCTGGTATTGTAAATGATTGGGATGATCCACGACTAGTAACTCTAACAGCACTTCGTCGTCGTGGTTTCCCACCTCAAGCTATTAACACATTTTGTGAACGCATTGGTGTTACCATGGCTCAGACAACTCTTGATCCATCTGCTTTAGATGCTTGTGTACGAGATTATTTAAATGATCATGCTCCACGCGTAATGGCTGTTTTAGAACCTATTTGTGTAACAATTACAAATTGGTCTGAATTATATGGCGATAAATCTTCTATTGAGGTGGGTAAATTTTCATTTTTCTAATATTCTGACTGAAAGTTAGTTTTATATTCTGAAGTTATTGTACTTTGCCATCACTCCGAAAATTTACATTCTAGACTAATCTGAGCAAGTGATTTCACTTGTTAGTGCAACTGTTCATGAATTACTCCCGCGATTTTCCCACTTTCATTCTAACTTAATTTTGCATATATATATTCACTAGAACCTGCCATTAAATATTCCAAGTTACCATATCTCTGGATTATCAGAAATAGCAGGTGGACTTGTTTTTATTATTGAGTCCTCATTGTTTCTGCACTAATCTTGACACTTCTTTAAGCATAACTGTAGGGTTTATGGTAAATCGAATTCAGTGTAGTTCTCGTTCTTACTACAATAACTTCGGTTAGACGACCACTGAAGACCAAATAGGAATTGACTGCTGTCTCACTCTATTTCATAGTTTAAGCACTGTGTGCCGACGTCACTCAAAATCAAGCACCATATAATCAATTTGCATTCATTGATTTGGCTTTCTTATTTCTATCTGTTTGTTCAACTTGATTGACCTCATCAGCCGCAGATTCTTATAAGAAGTGCATTAGAGAAGTGTATTTTGCAGTCAGTTCCAAATCAGAAGGTTTGTGGGGAACTGGTTGATCACTATGATAAAATGATTCCCCAGCACTTGATATTGACTGAATTTCTGCATAATACTGGTTTGCAAATGGACATTGAACTGGCTAGTTCAGGAACGGTGGTAATTATATTTTGTATTCATCAGTACAGAGTTTATATTTGAGATAATTCTTCACATTTTATAGCTATAGATTTTATTCGACATTATTTCATCGACTTTGGAGATCATTCATTCACATAAGGGATCTGTCTGTCTGTTTTCGACATAGAACTTTGCACAAATGTGCGGAAGTTCAAGTCGCCACATTCCGTGTAGCACGCGAAGCAAGAGAAGAAAGTACAAGAAAAGCATAATAGAAACAGTGAGCAGAGGTGTGAGACAAAGGAGTAATAAAGAAATACAAAACAGTTTCATTGAAGATCATAAGTCACAGGGAGTGGATGCATCTGCGCCACTGAGAACGGTTTTGAGCCATGTCACCAATTGTTTCCAACCATAGATTTTTACCGTCCCGAGGACCCCAGCCTGGAAGTCTACACCTTTCTACGTGGCTTAGACCAACTGTTGTGGATTTCATTGACTGATGCCAAGTTTTTGTTTGACCGCCGCTAGCTTTTTTCCAGCCTGACCCTATATCCGCTAACATTGCTCGTCGAGGGAGGCGATGGCTTGGCATACGTAACACATGTCCTAACCATCTCAGTCTTTGTAGCTTCACGACTTCGTCGATTGATTTCCCCTGTTTACCTAGAACTCTACGCCTAACCTCAATGTTGCTCACCTTATTATGCCACTTTACACGGGAAATAGAACGCAGGCACCTATGATCAAAGACAGCTAGTCTTTTCATGTCTTCCACTCTCAGTGGCCAGGTCTCACAACCATAAAGGAGGACGGAGCGGACTGATGAGCAGTACACCCGCCCTTTGGTCGATAGTCGAACATCTCGTCTACGCCAGAGTCGGCGTAAACTAACAAATGCGAAACGAGCCCCTTGTATTCGTGCTGAGATTTCGTCAGAGATCAGCCCGTTGGGGCTGATGGTACTTCCCAAATAAGTGAAGCGGTCAACGTGCTCTACCACTTCACTTCCTATTTTTAAACTAGGCGTCGATGTAGTCCAGTCCTGTAACATCATCTTGCATTTGGCGGGAGCGAATCGCATGCCAAACATTCGTAGATTGCTGTTCAAGGTGTTTAGAAGACTCTGCATTTCGTCAGCGTCTTCGCCTAGAAGGACTATATCGTCTGCATATTCCAAGTCAACGAGATTATTCCCCGGTAGCAAGTCAATCCCTGAGTCGCTGAAGTCACCTAGGGTTAAGTCCATTAACACATCTATGATGAAGTTGAATAGAAAAGGAGATAATGGGCATCCTTGACGGACACCACTGGTCGTCATCAGTTCAGATGACAGCTCGCCGTAAGCCCTCACCTGGCTGTATGAGTACGAGTAGAGTGCCTTAATCAGTGCAATATATTTTCTTGGAATTCCCTTTACAGCCAAGCATCTCCAGAGAACTTCCCGATCGACAGAGTCGAATGCTGCCTTTAGGTCAAGAAATATAATGACTGTTGGACGCCGGTAGGAATGCCTATGTTCTAGAATCTGTCGGAGGGTGAAGATATGATCAATACACCCTCTTCCTGGTCTAAAGCCTGCCTGGCTCTCTCGTGTTTGTGCTTCCCGAGCACCACTCAGTCTACGCATGATTATTGAGCCTAAGACTTTAGATACTATATTAGTCAAGCTAATCCCTCTGTGATTATCACAGGAAGACTTGTCTCCCTTCTTGTATATGGGGATAATCAGTGACTTACACCAACCCGATGGGACTTCTTCTGATTCCCAGACGCTGCCTAGTACCTCAGTTAATCCGGACAGTAAGCTGTCTCCACCGTACTTAAATACCTCTGGAGTCATTCCATCAGGTCCCGCTGCTTTGCCTAGTTTCAGATTGGTGACAGCTTTAGTAACCTCAGTTAGTGACGGAGGACCTGTGTTTATATCCCATTCAGGGAGGTGTTGGATGCTCGGAAGGTTGAGCGTGGCTGTGGGCAAATTAAACTGCTCCTCATAATGCTCTTTCCAACGATCCAGTCGTCTATCCTGGGAGCTAATTATAGTGCCATTTTTTCCGAGATTGTCTCACTGATGATTTGTCTTCTCCCACCCGTTTCCCTGATGAGTCCAAAGAGTTGCCTGGTGTTGCCTATCCTCGAAGCTTTCTCCATCTCTTTGGCTTTTGTCGCCCACCACTGTTCACGGTCCTTGCGGAGACTTTTCGTAAGTTTCCTCTTGTGCAGCTTTCGCTCCTCATTGAATTCGGAGCTCGCCGGAATAAGTCTTCTAGCATCTATCAGTTCGGATGAGGCGGTGGAGATCCAGTGGTTTTTACTCACCTTTGGGTTTACCTTATTCACAGCTTTTACAGCTGTATCTATGGCTGCCTGGATATTTTTCCAAGCTTCTTCAGGGTGAGCACAGCTGTCGAACACAGATATGTGTTTAGCTAGTTCTTCCTCAAATACGGATTTAGTTTCCTGATCGAGCTGGGGACGTGATGGTTTTACCGCCAGCTGTTTCCTACGTCCGTTCAGTCGTAAGCACACCCGAGCGCGGACCAGTGCATGGTCGGTATCTACGCACGTGTTCCAGAAGGAGCGACAATCTCCTACCGACCCACGCCAACGATAGCTTATTGCTATGTGGTCTATTTGTGTCCAGCGTTGGTTTGATGAAGGGGGTCTCCAAGTCAAACAGTGTCTCTCCTTGTGTTTAAAGTTAGTGCTTACAAGAAACAAATGATTATCAGAGCAGAACTGTAGGAGACGGTCACCGTTGTCGGTTCGCTGGCACGGAACTCCATAGGTGCCACCGACATCCTTCTCAGATTGACACAATTTCCCTACTTGAGCGTTAAAGTCACCAGCTAGAACGACTATGTCTGAGCGTTTAGCCTTTCGCACCAAACTAGACAGCTTTTGGTAGAACTCATCCTTCGTTTCATCTGAACTGCAGTCAGTGGGGGCGTAGGCGGAGATTACGAAAAGGCATCGGCGAGTAGTGCAGTCCTTCCTCCTTCTTACTGATCCGTTCAGGCGGACAGCACACATTCGGCTATCTACCGGGATCCAGTCAAGCAATGTCTTTTCTGCCCTAGTACTCAAAGCTATCCCTACGCCAGCTAATCCTCGTGAACTAGCTGTGGCATCTCCTGACACCCTCAAGGTGAATTTTGCAGATTCAACCTGTTGGCCAGGTGGGGTTAGGTGAATAACCACACTTGGGTCTTGTATGCGTGTTTCTGAAACACAGCATACATCAATGGCTCGTGATGCCAGGGTCTTGGCTAGTGATGCTTGTTGTCCTATTTGGCAAAGTGTCCTAACATTAAGAGCTCCTATATGAAATTGGTGGCGCGGCTTTAAGAGGCTGTCGGTGGTGGTTTTTTGGCTTCCATCGTTTTTAGTGGACGCAGAGTGGAGAGGAAGTGGAGAGCTATCAAGTCGAGGAGTTGCATCAGTGGAAGGAAGGCAAGATGATAGAGATGAAGATGAAGACAAAGATGAGTGAGTAATAGAGAGGTTTCGTGTGCATTTCGGATTGTGAGGGCGATTGTTACTTCCCGGCTGCCCACACCGTGGAAGTTGGTTGCGTGACCGCAGAGCCCAGGGGACAACTGCTTGAGGCCGGTCACACGCGGCCTGTTTTTGTTCGTTCTTTTTTGTTTGGTGTGTCTCAGTAGCAGATTTATCACTCCTGCCCTGTGACACGGCAGCAGGAAGCGCGGTCGTTGTTAATCCGGGCCACGGCCGATCCGGCATGAAATTTTGTGATTTTGTATTGGACATGATGTTGGATTGGGTAGCTGCTTTTTGTTTAACCGCTATCCAAACAACCTGCCTGGCATGGTAGGACCTCAAGAGACATAAGTCTCAGCCAGTATAGCTTGAATAGATCATTGCGGTGTTCAAGCCCGACCACCACGTCAAGGTAGCAGCTTTCGGTCGGGCACATAAGGGATATTTCAACCGGTCTTCATAATTTCAATGACCATTTATGGTAGTATAAGTGGTAGGGTGAGAGAAACCCGTAGCTTGAGCTCTTCAGTGAAAACAGCCATGATATGATGGAGAATAACAACATGACATATTTTCCGTGTATTATTAGATTATTTTTTCTTAAATATAGCAAAAATATTCATTCAGACATCTATAAAACACAAAATAATTGAGCAAAGAATATCCTTTTCGATAAATTCCTCTTCTGCCTCTACAATTATATATATATATATATATATATATATATATATATATATATACATATATATATATATATGTTTATATACATAGAATATTCTAGATTAGTAGTCAATAACAATATTAGTGTTTTTTAAATAATATCGATTTGTAAAGTAAGATCAATGGAATTACAGTTCATCAAAGATGCTTAAATTATAATACTAAGAAAGATATAGTGACGAATAGAATATCAACTAAAATTGGGAAAATTTCACAAAGGGCCAAGGTAATGATAATGTCTGAACTAACTTCTTTTAGATGCACAAATTAGGCTTGTTAATATCGATCCCAACAGCCAGCCTCAGCAATATTTAGTAGTCGAACTCTTAAGGCAAAACTGAGATTCGTTGGTATGCGGTAAATGACCCTGAAAGAATGGTTAACGTCAATCTTGTATTCTGTATGCTCAAGATGAGACAGAATAGCGTTGCGAATGGATTTTGTTTGTCTTTTGCTTAACCACGCAGGGTGATGTTCGGAAATTCGACGAGAAACACGCCTAATTTTACGGCCTATTTAACTGTCTTCACAGGAGCAGTTAAATTGGTAGATACACATGGAAGAGGGGAAATTAGGCAGTTTGTCTTTTGCTCCCGAACGCAATAGAGGAGTGGTTTTGAAGACACAGCGTTATTGGGCAGCAGAGAATGCTCTTTTTACCGCCTCATTTCTAAGGCGCTTTGTTAGTATCTCGCTGATGTTGTCCCCAAGGAACTGAATTTGTAAAAATAAGGCGTTTTTAGGAACTGTTGGTACCTTGGGCTGCCTTGATTTGTGATTCGTATTCTTATCAATAAACTTTTCTAGATAAGCATTTTTACTCAGCAACCGTTTAATATTATTAAGTTCCTCATCAAGACATTCATCCGAGCAAATTGCTCTTGCTCTGTGAACCAAGCACTTTATCAGATTGCATTTGTATTTCAAGGGCACGAAATTGAAAAATTATTATACTGGCCCGTTGATGTAGGTTTTCTATGTACACTTCTTCTTATAGTACCATCCTCTTTTCTGATCATAAGGACGTCTAGAAATCAGATACTAGAGTCTTTTTCTTTCTCAATAGTAAAATTTATTGCAGGATGAACCTCGTTAAATTTGTCCAGGATGTTCTTTGCTTCCTCCTCATTGATCTTACTTTACAAATCGATATTATCTAATAAACACTACTGTTATTAACTACTAATCTAGAATATTCTATGTATATAAACATGTATATATAATTGTAGAGCCGGAAGAGGAATTCATCGAAAAGGATATTCTTTGCTCAATTATTTTGTGTTTTCTTAAATAGTTCAAAGCTAACCAAAGCCTTTCTTTTCCTGTTATCCATTTATAGCTAACAGTGGCCGATTTTCCAGCCATTCCGGACGGCAGCACACACAGTGTTATCTTACAACCAGAATTGTATATAGAAAGTACAGATTTCCAAGAAGTAGCTGATAAAGGCTATCGCCGTTTAACCCCCAGCCAATCAGTTGGTCTTCGTTACACAGGTCTTGTTTTAGAGTTTACCGAATTGAGAAAGGTAAAGTAGTGTGTAAGACATTTTCAACAGAATACATTTTGGTTTTGTTGACCATAGATATCATGAAATAATCATTCATCCAGTGGTTTTTGTTCGTATTTGTAATATGTTTTCCCCTTGTGATGATGATGTCACCCGTCAGTTCCGGTCGTATTAATTTAAACTGAAAATCAGCTAATCGAAACAGTTTGGGTTTACAGATCAAGTGTATGGTAATTTTATTTGAAATACAACCATAATGTTACTCAACAACCATTTGCGATTCCATGCAGTTGGCGATAAGCCCAACCTATTTTGTGAGGTTTGGTTTTACTACCTGGAGCTGACCAAACCTCGGTGCGTGGAACGATGTCTGAGCATGTGACCCGCTAGTTGGGAGTTGAGCACCTGCACTAATGACCCACTGCCCTAAACGCAACTACATTTACATTTGACAAGAGTATGATAGTGCTGTTAAGGGTTGAAGCGTTGAAAAAATAGTTTAACTGTATTTACCCTGACCAGGAGAATACTTTCATTTGGTTGTAGTACAGTACTCACTGTTCTGCGGTTATTTAACCCATCATGAAATAACATCACGGGAGTTATGCTGGTTATTTTCTAATCTCAGTTATCTTGTTGCATAACAACTGTTTTGTTCTTCAGCACAAGTCATCTTGACTCACTCATTTGAGTTATTTGTATTCTTTGCGTTAATTGATTGGATTTAACCGAAATGTTTAGTCTGTATTGACATGTCAGCTGCTATTACAGACGCTTCGACAATGTCTGAGGATCGATATAATGTTTTTATTCGGTAGATGTGGATTTTCAGTGGAATCCAGGGTGTTTATTCCCAGTCTCAACGGGAACGCCACCATTCACTGCTGGTGGTGACTAACGAGTTATAAATAAGATGAAATGCCCATCCTAGATTCCACTGATAGTTGTTATCCACCAAATTAGAGAAACCTGAAAGAAACAACCTCCTTTACCTACCTGGGAAGCATCGTTTCAACTACAGGCGGGACTGGTGAGGATATGAAAGCAAGAATCGGAAAAGCGAGACAAGCTTTCATTACTTTTAAGTCTGTGTGGAGGTCAACAGTACTCAGCATCAAAATTAAGATCCAGATTTTCAACTCCAATGTAAAGTCAGTGCTACTTACGGATCAGAGACTCGGTGCGTCATAAAGAGCATCTCAAACAAGCTACAGACCTTCATTAACAGTTGTCTTCGCTCAATACTCAAGATCAGGTGGCCGGTCAGAAAAGATCACCAACAGGGATCTCTGGCAATGAGTGAAGCAACCAGGAACCGATTGTGAAACAAACAGGCGGGAAGGTGGATTGGCCATACTCTGAGGAAGCAAACCATCAAGTGACTTCGCTAGACAAGCCATTGCTCGAGTGGAACCCTAAAGGGAAGCGGCGAGTTGGTCGTTAGTGCAAGGGTGACTTGGAGGAGGTGATGTGAAGAGGAGATGAAAACGTGTTGGCAGACTTGGAGCGGGGTGAGAAAGTTGGCTGAAAACCGAACGCAATGGAGACGCGTGGCTGAAGCCATATGTTCCTCTAGGAACTAGAGGATAAAATAATAATAATTTATGTTCTGGTCATTCCCTTACTCAACTGTAGGAGTAAATATTCACAATGAACATAGATATATTTGATGAACCGATGTTGTGGTGTTCTGTTGAATACAGCTAAATCAATAAGCGATAAGGCGGTGTTTTGCATTATGTAACTGAAATGTACATGGTAATAGTATGTTTAATTAAAGCAGTCATTTACAACCTGTGCGTCGGTGGCACAGTGGTTAGGACTCATGCCGACCATGCACATGGTCCTGGGTTCGAGCCCTTGCCGACGCACACCTGATATCTATGGTCGGCCTGCAAATTTTGGGCTACCGATATCCACGCTGAAAATTCCATACTTGTACCAAAAATACGGTGTGGAATCAAGCTGTAATCAAAAATAAAATAAAAAAAATAAATAAATAGTTAACTTTTACAGCTTTTGAAGACGCCTAATTTATTCATTATTCTTTTTATTCCGCATTTAGGATTCCAGTGGAAAAATTGTCCATTTATTTGTAAAGGGTCGGAAGGTTGAAGACACTACAAAACCAAAGGCTTTCATTCATTGGGTGTCGAATCCTCTTAAATTTGAGGCTCGATTATACGATCGTCTGTAAGTATCTATAAAAAAGAAATCTTACAGGATGTATCTGAAATATAAATCATTTTAGAAAAATCTGTCAGTAATAAATGCACTGTTAATTTTTCCTTAACACTTTTTTTTAGATTTACCTCCAAAGAACCAGAAAGTGAAAAGGGTGGATTCATGTCTGTGATAAATCCAGTATGTTTATATGCTTATATTACTCTTGCTATTTATTGAATTTGTTTTGTTTTTGAACAAAGAAAGAAGAAACATTGGAGCAGAATAATCTGGATCCATTTTATTTCGTTGGTTCTCATCAGCTGCGTACAACCTGAACTTTTTTTAATAACAATAAAAAGTGTACAATTTTAACAAACCTTTGTCCATTAGCAAGCATACTGTCAGAGTCATAGTAAAATAAGGCGTTGAGATTTACAGGGTGTCTAAAGTGTTACGATATATATATATATATCTTGGCCCTCCTCTCTGTTCTTCCAATGTAACTGCTCCCTACGTCAGACTCTGCGAACATGTACCAAGGAGCCTCCAGTTAAAGGGACCGAATTGTTTAGGCTCTTCAATCGCCAAACACCTGATTCACACAGGACACCGAGTAGATGTGTTGGAATCATTCAAAATAATTAACAGACAAAGTACCTCAAGTCTTCTCAGATTTGCTGAAGCTATAGCAATAAAACGATTGAAGCCTGACTTATGTGTCCAAAAAGAATCCGTTGTTGGACTTCAATTACCCTGATGACTCACTTCTTAGTAACTCTTTGCTTTCTAATTTTGTTAGCTTATCTTTTCACCCCACCCCTCCCTTTATTTTTCGCTTGATTTTCTGAGTTCTGCTCACTGTATTACATCATCAACTTCTCGTCTGACCTCATATGCACCGAAATTGTGAAATTTTGATCTTCTCTTATCTAATTACGCAACTATCACTAATTTTCTTTTCTTTTGTTACAATCCCAACAACACAACAGTTAGTAAAATTTTTTTCAAGAAACTTCTCTCTACCAATATATATATATATATATATCGTAACACTTTAGACACCCTGTAAATCTCAACGCCTTATTTTACTATGACTCTGACAGTATGCTTGCTAATGGACAAAGGTTTGTTAAAATTGTACACTTTTTATTGTTATTAAAAAAAATCAGGCTGATAGCAGCTGATGAGAACCAACGAAATAAAATGGATCCAGATTATTCTGCTCCAATGTTTCTTCTTTCCTTGTTCAAATTTATAAAAGGGAATAATTGTGTGGAATGTTTTGTTTTTGTCAGTTATCTCTCTTGAAATATATAATGAGAGACTTGCTTCACATTTTACTTACATGTATTTATTAATTAAATGGATTGGTTTAGGCATTTCTGTTGTTAAAACTGCGCATTCGCCCATCGGAGTGCGATAAAAACCAAGGTAACAATGCCTGTCCCGATGAATATTTTTTAAGGGGTATCATCAGCTTCTGTTGTATCTCATTCACGCTTGATCATGAGCTGATGTCACTTAAAGAACCATTGGAAAACCAGAGGTTTCGTCCTGTTTTAGGACTCATCGGCAGCACGCACCCATCTACTGGCGTTCGAACCCAGGACCTTCAAGTTACGAGATGAGCCGCGCAGAACACTTAGCGTCTGAGACCCCGATCCAATGGCCTATAAATTTTAACTTCTGTCGATTCGCGATTTTCAATGAGACAGCCAGCCATTTCGCCCTCTTACCTTATCTGGGGAACTGAGCTGGTCACAGCTTCTCACTAGATCTCCAGGCAACTTTGTCTTATAGTCAGTCACTAGTAAGCTTTACACCAGTTTTCAAGTGTTAGTTTGTAGGGATTTCATTTTGATTAAAGTTGTACCACTCACTATTCATCGTTTACAAAAACAAATACTTAATCCATACCTTATTTTGTGTTTTCAAATTTCACTTATTTGTAATAATATAGCTTTTGAGTGTAGTTAGTGAAATCGGTGCTTAGATGTTCGATTTAGGACTTAAGCCGGTTCAGATGCTCTTTGTCGGACACAGAACTAATAGTTTGTAGTTAAAAAGAAAAAAAAACCCGCATAAACTTATATACTACTGACCGATTGAAATGAGTAGCTGCACACACCACTCATATCAACCGGCAGTGCTTGCTTGCTAGCCAGATCAAAGTGATCTAATCACTGGACGAGTAGAGTTCATCAGTGTTGCACTCAGAACTATTTATCTCAAAGGACGGAGTCAGTTTGCTCCTAAGTTCTATGATAATGCGACTCTTTGAGCTGAGCCAAAACCGGGCACATCTGTGATCAGTTCGATCCCTAACTAGCGAAGCGTCCGTCTGGTGTTTAAATCCCTTCGGTTGATGTGTGTGTTTTACAACTACTTATCTCAGTAGTCAATCAGTAGTATATAGTTTTGTACAAATATGCTGGCTTTCTTGATTATCATTAATACTTATCAAGCAGATCACATATTGCGATCTAAATAATTTAGTTCCCAAAGGGAACTGTGGTGAAAATTAATTACAAACCTCTGACTAGTTTTTGAATTTGCTTCAAAAAGAGAAAAAATAATTTTGGTCGGTTAGTACTGAACCAAGGACGTATGCTGAGAATGTCATCCCAGAGGCTTCCGTATAGGTCTCTGTTCGCTAGCCAGCCCTGGGACAGGATGGAAAAGGCGGAGGAGTGGTCAGTCCATGACGTCGCGTCATGGGACGAAAGATGTTTGTGCTAGATTTAGCATCGGTTGGTGTGTCACGACTCCCTGTTTGGGGTCCGTGAGAGGTAGCTCGAATCGATGGCTCGAAACGTTATCGAATATGGCCAAAAATCGTAATCATCAATGGCGAACGTGCTGCAATTTCCTTCTTTCTCCTCTTTCCCGATGATAGTTGACGAATACTGTTTGAACTTGTTAAGTATGACTGTTTTCTTTCCAGATGAAGTTCTTTATCCCTTCTCTACTTATGTATTTTTTTTTACTTTTGATCTATGTTGTTTTATTATTATTATTGTGTGGCGCATCTTTCTTGGCGCCATATTGTACCAAGTGTTTTTCTGCGTTTAAATAATAATGATAATAATAATTTTATTTTGAGAGAGATTATCGTACAGGGTATCATATGCACATTGCTCAAGCCTAACTTTATGCTTCATGTTAATTAATCTGATTTTGTTTTATTGTTTGCACTAAATTTGGTTTTTTTTTCATTCTTAACCATTTTACAGAATTCATTAGTTATAATTCCAGATGCTTTAGTCGAACAATCAGTTAAAGATGCTAAAGTTTTCAGTGCATATCAATTTGAACGTATCGGTTTCTTTTCTGTGGATCCTGATACAAACTCTGAACGTGTAAGTATTATACTATCTAATGAATAATATTTCATGAAAACTGACCTAAAACTGATTTCTATAGTTCACATATATAACTTCCCAATCATTCAGTTTTCCATTTTGTGAGGTTTAACTGTCAATGCGTCGGTGGCACAATGGTTAGGACTCTCGCCCATCATGTACATGGTCCGGGGTTCGATCCCCGGCCACAGGCGCATTCCTGGCTAAGCCAGAAATAATTCTGGTAAAGAGGAAAGGTTGGGCATGGGGCTAGCACCCCCTCCTATCCTGTAAAATTAAACACTGCTACAGAAACTTCAAGCCACTAGCTTGAGGCCCTATGTTCCACTGGGAACGTGACTCTGTCGATCGGGAGGTTCTCTGGAGATGCTTGGCTGTAAAGGGAATGCCGAGAAAATATATTGCACTGATTAAGGCACTCTATTCGTACTCATACAGCCAGGTGAAGGCTTACGGCGAGCTGTCATCTGAACTGATGACGACCAGTGGTGTCCGTTAAGGATGCCCATTATCTCCTTTTCTATTCAACTTCATCATAGATGTGTTAATGGACTTAACCCTAAGTGACTTCAGTGACTCAGGAATTGACTTGCTACCGGGGAATAATCTCGTTGACTTGGAATATGCAGACGATATACTCCTTCTAGGCGAAGACGCTGACGAAATGCAGAGTCTTCTGAACACCCTGAGCCGCAATCTACGAATGTTTGGCATGCGATTCGCTCCCGCCAAATGCGAGATGATGTTACAGGACTAGACTACATCGACGCCTAGTTTAAAAATAGGAAGTGAAGTGGTAGAGCACGTTGACCGCTTCACTTATTTGGGAAGTACCATCAGCCCCAACGGGCTGATCTCTGACGAAATCTCAGCACGAATACAAGGGGCTCGTTTCGCATTTGTTAGTTTACGCCGACTCTGGCGTAGACGAGGTGTTCGACTATCGACCAAAGGGCGGGTGTACTGCTCATCAGTCCGCTCCGTCCTCCTTTATGGTTGTGAGACCTGGCCACTGAGAGTGGAAGACATGAAAAGACTAGCTGTCTTTGATGATAGGTGCCTGCGTTCTATTTCCCTTGTAAAGTGGCATAATAAGGTGAGCAACATTGAGGTTAGGCGTCGAGTTCTAGGTAAACAGGGGAAATCAATCGACAAAGTCGTGAAGCTACAAAGACTGAGATGGTTAGGACATGTGTTACGTATGCCAAGTCATCGCCTCCCTCGACGAGCAATGTTAGCGGATATAGGGTCAGGCTGGAAAAAAGCTAGCGGCGGTCAAACAAAAACTTGGCCTTACCAGTCAATGAAATCCACAACAGTTGGTCTAAGCCACGTAGAAAGGTGTAGACTTCCAGGCTGGGGTCCTCGTGACGGTAAAAATCTATGGTTGGAAACAATTGGTGACATGGCTCAAAATCGTTCTCAGTGGCGCAGATGCATCCACTCCTTGTGTCTTATGATCTCCAATGAAACTGTTTTGTATTTCTTTATTACTCCTTTGTCTCACACCTCTGCTCACTGTTTCTATTATGCTTTTCTTGTACTTTCTTCTCTTCGCGTGCTACACGGAGTGTGGCGACTTGAACTGGTGCACATTTGTGCAAAGTTCTATGTCGAAAACAGACAGACAGACAGACAGGGAACGTGAAGGAAAAAGAAACTGTCGATGCACAAAGTCACAGCTTTACAGTCTGTTATATTTATTGCAGCTTGGGAATTTGGCTAGGGCTATTAACTTTCATGTGTTGACTATAGGTATTATTATAGTATGATTATAACGCATGACATTTATGGGCACCAAAAGATGCTCCACGCAAGATTTTACAATTTGTGCGATGACTGGGGTACTTGCTTCCCGGACGCTGAGACCGAATCAGGTGGTTGTTTTAATGGATCATTCCTCGAGCCTTTGACTTGAAGTCTGATCCAGTTAGATACAACAGTTTTCTGTTAAATGAAGAACCGTTAAGCACTCTTTAAATTTTCAGTGTTCATGACACCCTTCCAAAATCTCAGCAAGGGTACAAAAGGCTTGTGTGGTATTTGCCAACTGACTCCATTTCTGGCGTAGACTTGTTATCTGGCTATCGATCAAAGGACCTGTGTACTGCTTAGCAGTTCGCTTCGTTCTCCTTTGTGGCTGTGAGACATGACCATTGAAGGTAGGAGATAAGAAAAGACTAGCTTTCTTTAATCGTATGTGCATGAGTCCTATTTCTCGTGTTAGGTGGTATAATAGGATGAGGTTAGCCGTTGAGTGCTAAATAAGTAGGGGAAATCAGTCGACGAGGTTGGGAAGTCACACGGATTTAGAAAGATGGTTAGGCCATGTGTTACTCATACCTAGCCTAGCCAATACCTTCTTTGATGAGCGATGTTAACGGATATAGGATCAGGTTGGAAAAGAGAGAGCTAGCGGTGGTCAAACCAAAACATAGCTTCGTCAGTCAATGAAATCCATGACAGTCAGTTCAAGCCACGTCGGGAGGTGCAGACTTCCTGACTGGTTGCGGTCCTTGGGATGGTAAGAACCAATGAGGGCTGGAGACGATTAGTGATATGGCTCAAAATCGTTCTTCATGGCGCAGATGCACTTGCTCTTTGTGTTTTCCCATATCCATTAAACCCTCTTGTTTTCCCATGTTACTATTCTTTCTTTCTCAGATTTCTGGTAATCATCGTTCTTTCAAATATCTGTTTGTCTTCCTTTGTGGGCTACATAGATTGTGGCAGCTGGAACTGCTGCACTTCTGTGTAATGTTGTGTGTTGAAACCCCGTCAGTCAGTAACATGCTTTGCCAATTTTTTACAGAGCAAATAATATTTACTCACTTCATCTCACTGTCTTCTCATTGCTTGACGTGAAGTTTTTCTTCCTCGACAAATCTTAAACTATGTATTGTTGTCTCTCAGAGTTTGTTCCACATTCTTCTATGTATTCACAACTAATAATCTTCCCTTATGTGTTATCTTGAAATCACTGTTCAGAATTGAACATCTCAGTGACCCGGGTAACTATACCGCTTGTCCACAGAGATATGATAACAGTTTTGGGTATGGGCGGTGTGAAAATGGCTCATCCAAATCACCAACAGTCTCTCTGTCATATGTATCTGTAGTTAGGAGGTTGTAAAACACCTATTTCCAAAACTATACACCCCGACTTACACTATGACGATCCGTAATCGGTGTTTGGGTCGTTTGACGACGGGACTCCATCCAAAGCCTCAGGATGGTCGGGGGTGGGTGTCTTGCGCTGCGGGTTGGCCACCCCTCCGCACACCTCTTGAAATGCTCCCATATGACCGTGCGTCTTACATAGCCTCTCCTGAGGAAGTCCTACTCACTGCCTTCACGTGGCGGAGGTGTTTCTCACTAAAGTGAGAGGGCAAAAGCGGATGCCCGGCGCTCTCCACCGGGTTGACTGTCCATTGGATGACAGTCTAGGGGAGATGGCTAAACCCTGATTCCAAACCTCCAACGATTGGCGTATGAAGCTCACTGGAGCTCACCGGCAGACGTATGGACAAAGGGCTTGTTGGATGTCCTGGATGTCTGGCCCCATTCAAAAAGGCGTATGAACCGAACTCCGGTCACCGGCTGCCAATGGATAGTGGACTCCTTACTCCACTCCTACTGCCTTGTAGGTCACACTTGGCTGTGTAAAGGCTAGAGCTGCACTCTCAAACAAAAGGCCGAGCGATGCTGGGGACATCACTCGTACCAAATTCCCAAGAAACTTCATGAACTCTCCTACAAACAACTCTCACCATGCTACGGCGTTCCCGGTAAGCGACGCGCCCTGTGCTCACCCGGTGGCCAGTGTGAAAAGTAAGCTAGCTGGGAAATTAACACTTAGAAACCAACTATTTGTTGGCTGCTGGAATGTTAGGACGCTGTTGGATCCTGGTAGCCAGTCTATCACCATGCGTTCTTTATATGACTACAAGGTAGACATAGCGTGTCTATCTGAAGTGAGGTTACCCGATCATGGCTCCCGCCGAATAGCCGTTCCTGGAACAGATTCTTCATTCTGGTTGCTTCATAGTGGCCCCCAGAATAATTCGGGACAACATGGGGTAGCATTTGCTCTCAGTAACAAAGCCAATAATGCCCTAATATCATTCGAACCGGTCAACTCCAGAGTTGCAGTCGCTAGGTTCAAGGGTTCCCCGCTCGACATTTCTGTTCTCGCTGTCTATGCCCCAACCCTCGACTCTGATGAAAGTATCAAAGACGAATTTTATGACAATCTTCAAGAGGCAATCAACAAAATCCCAAAGCGTGACGTTCTCATAGTAGCCGGCGATTGGAACGCCCGCACTGGCCCTTCAGACGACGCGACAAAACATATACTAGGCAAACACGGTCTCGATCAGCGCTGCCGTAATGGTGATAGACTTTTATCTTTTTCTGATTACAATCGATTATATATCACCAACACTCGATTTCAACACCCCAGAAAACATCTTCTCACCTGGTATTCGAACGACGGTCGCACTGCACATCAGATCGACTACATCCTAGTGCGCTCACGCTGGATCTCCTCGGTGGAAGACTGTCGATCCTATCGTGGAGCAGAGGCCGGAAATAAAGGGGGATCAGACCATACTCTAGTTAGGGCGAAATTCAAACTTCGTTTAACGACACGCCAGAAGACGCGACCTCCGAAGCGTATCAATGTTGCCCCGCTTCAATGTTCTACAAGACGACAAGCCTTGTCCAAACAAATCCAGGCCGAACTAAGCACCGCAGATGAACCAACATCCACATCTTCTAATACACCCGAGACACGATGGAATCATTTCAAAGAAGTAGTCTCTAAAGCTTCAATGACGCATTTGGGTACCACATCCAAGAAGCAGAAAGACTGGATTTCAGAGCACACCATGCTTCTATCCTCGCAAGCCAGAGACGCTCGCCTAGCAAAGTCTCCAGTTTATCGCTCCCTCAGGCGCAAAGCTACACAGTCTGCTAGGAACGACAGAAATCGCTAT